GTTATTTAATCCACGTTGTCACACTCCTTTAGTATAAAATCTTTTTTATAGATAATTGGAGAATAAGTGGATGTTATAATATTTACAATATAATAAGAGAATGAATCCAAGCTATAACTATCATTACTTTTATTTTTATATTTATCTTCTAGTAAAAGAAGAGTGTTTATCTTTGATTAGAGTAGATTGAAATAGTGCTCTCATTTCTTAATATAGATAATAATCTGCAGTAAGAATTTGGTTCGGAAACACGAAATATTACCTTGCTATTAAATATGATTGTGTATACAAATAGTAGGAGTGTGTGTTACTGGTACGAATCAACTAGCGTAATATAAAATAAGTTAGAATATTTTTATTGTGCACAAGTGATCTAGAGAACAGAAGAAGAGAAGAAAAAATATGTTTTAGACGTCGACACATTTACTCTGATTCTCATTCTTGAAAAATTATTTGACAGGCCACGTTCGACTAAAGAGAATGAAAGAGAAAAAGTAAGATAATAATTCCTGATGGAACGAAAAAGCGGTACTGTATATATAAAGATATAACAGGAAATAATAGTGGTTGAAATATGACATGCTTGTAAATGGGAATAATAGATGACTCTAGTTATAGAAACTTAAAACACATCATACTACTATCCGTTTCTAAAGAGCATGCGGGTGGATGTTTATGGAATAAAATCTGAACGGAAAGGGACATAAAGGTGGGGTTTTCAGTTTCTGAAAGTAGGTACCTGAGGAAATCGATCTATGGAAATCCCGTGATAAAACCACCAGCTACTGGTGGTGTACGCGGTGAGGGTGAGTTTGATAATGATGCTTGAGGGAAAGATGTCATCGGTATTCAACGGCATCAGCGAAAAAGCCTTTGAAACATATCCAGTTTTGAAATAAATACAAATCATTAAGAGATCTGATCATTGTTTTATAGGTAAAAACAAAACCAGACTATGCGCAGCTCCAACTTATCAGCATTCACCAGTATCATCACAACGAAATTTTGTGTCGTCCTCCAAAGCTAGTATGTAGACAGACGGCGATGACTCATGCAGTCAAAAGCTAGATGGGGTATTAGCTAATGCACTTCAACATAGAAACATAGGACTGATTTTCATGAACTAATAAACAGTTTAAAACCTCTTCATGAAAAATTAAAATATACGGCACTTCCGAACTCCTCTGACCTTAGCGATTTTGCGATGTATTACTCTTTCAATATTGTCCATGCTTTCTCAGTAGTACAACTGAAAGAAATGAAAGAAAAGAAGGAAGAAAAGTGTTTAGAAGAAAAATTAATAATAATCACTAAAGTTTAAGTTCATCTAAGCAAACCCTCAACATCAACAGTCTTAACTGATATTTTTGAACGATTTGGAAAGTTAAAAAGTGTAAATTATAAACAAAATTCCTTATACTATGAATTGGATTACTATTATTTTGATTCTATGGACAAAATTATTCCATCACTCCCATTAAAATGTGATGTTACTGGAAATGTTAAAAAAATAATGGAATTACTTGACATTGAAGATGTACGATTATTAACTATGTTTAAAAAAAGTCGAAAAGCGAAATTAAAGAAAAAAAAAGATAATCGTTTACCCTAGTGAAAGTACTCATACTATGAGTACGACTTTACTCATAATTCGTCTACGAGTACTCATATGAGTTCTACTAACAATTTTTGAGTATTTTTACTCAGTGAGTACTCAGTTACTATGTGAGTACTCAGAAAATATTCATTCACCATTTTGTTTTGCAAAAATGAAACTGTATAAAGAACGCAGAATTTAGTAAAGAAACATAGAATATTTATATGATATTTTTCTCGCTGGTCTCTCTGTATATAGTCAGAGATGGACTCGTCTGTGAATAGACTTGTAGTCCAACTCCGGCTGCCTGAGATCACTCCTCTATATGAAAATACCAGATGAACAATACTCATGAGTATTTTGCCAAAAGTTATATGCGTACTCAACAATACTCTAGCATGAGTACTTAAAGTCGTCCCCACAGTACTCATTACTCACTCTTGAGTACTCATGTGAGTACTCAATGATTACTCAAAATATATGAGTAAGTATGAGTACTCGTCCGGTTTTTCTAGCAGAGTACTTTTTGAGTACTCACGCATGAGTACATTCACTAGGGTATGCGTTAATTTTTGGTATTACGGCTAAAACGCCTAACTGTCACCCTCAGCTGCGGTGGGTTGAGCGGTATTTTTTCTCTCAAACCAGCCTTAAAAGCACATTGCTAGACGCAGTTTTTTGCGCTGATTACGAATATCAACTTTAAAACTAATGAAACTCAAACTTTTAAATCGAAAATTCAAATTTAAAATTTAGAAGTTCTTTTATTTCAATTTTCTGACCTACTTAGCTTTCTAAAAATTTCAGAAAGTATATCAGTGGATAGAGAATTAAATTCTCTACAAAATGCACTATTGACTTTATCAAAATAATCTTTAAAAACGCATTTTACACACTAAACAAGTTTTTGCTGGTTTTTGCCGGTTTTTGCCGAATTCGAAATGGTGCTTTTTTTGGAGCAATCGTACCAAAAAATGAAAAACATTTCTGCTACCGTTCTTTTTTGCTTAGTTTGATAGAGGGCACTCGATTGCATAAGGCTCCGTGTAAATCACATTTATGAAAGTCTTTTTACCGGTAGAAATATAACGATAAAACCCACCGCAAAAGAAAGTAAAAAAATGATGTAATTCCGTCACGACATGTAATTCCGTCACGGAGCTATTTCGCTTGTATCTTTTCATTTAAGCATTCTTAGGTGAAAGTAAAGAGATGATTCGAAAGCTCTTTTCATGCTCTACAACTTTTATATTAGACTTTTTTTCTGAATATGTCTCATTTTAGAGCATTTTTCAAAGTTTGTAGAGCACTCGAAAAAAAAGGCTAAAAAATGTAATTCCGTCACGACATCCATTTTGCTCATAAAAACCGTTCTACTTAACCGATTCATTCTAAATTTTTACCACAAACCGAGCATTCTATCGCACATCTCTGATAAAAATTTCGTCATCTTTTGTTTAGTATTTGAGGAGAAACAGAGTCCATAAGTTGAAAAAATGTAATTCCGTCACGCGCGTTTAAGCCGATTAGTAATTTAATTGTAGAGTTATATGTATATGCTATATGTGCCTCACTCCCACAAGTTTTTTAAATTCAAATCGATGGTCATTACAAGGCTTAGATATAGAAAAGAATATTAAAGGTTTAAAAAGACACACTGGTAAAAAGAAAGCTTTCATTAGTTATCGATTTGACTAAACAAATTCTTCGAAAATCAGTTACTGATCTAAGTATGATTTCGAGAAGAAACTTTCCATCCAGGTGAATGTTTTACTATCAGATATTTTCCATTTTTAACGAAAGTAACGGGATATGGATAACTGAATAATTAATTGCTAAATAGTTTTTTAGTAAACATTTCTCAGATTCGTTTCAAGACTTGGTCCAACACTAAAACGTAGATTGTTGAATAGAGCTCGTTGAGACCCATCTGACCATGTACTTTGTCGGTGCTTGTCGGTGCTTGTCGGTACTTTGTCGGCTTCTTCTCGACAAAAACCTCAGAAAGTTTTTCAAAGACCGGTTTTCCTTGTCATGTATGGAAATAAAAGTTTCTCGAATTCATTTTGTCGGCTTGGTCCAAGTCCGAAACCAGTTTTTTCTGGATCACCGCGACGAGCTCTATCGAATGATGTCACTTTAACGATTTTCCACTATCAAAATGTTTAGAGATTTTCAGAAAAACTGGTTGTAGTCTTGGGTTTTCGGAATCAAATATTTTAGGGTTCACTTCCAAACTTGGTCCAAACTAGAAACAATTTGGTTCAAATAGAGCTCGACGAGCTCTACAAAATGATACAAGTCATGTTGGAAAAGAAGGAATCATCTATCAGACAAATTTGAAGTGTTCGAGTTTTTACATACAGAAAAACTGACTTTTGCAATAAAATTTGCAGAGATTCATTTCGTGACTTGGAGGAATGGTAACTGCGTATGAATTGTGAATAAACTTAAGAAACCATAAAGAGAGCAAAGTTTATAGTATCGTGACGTGTAGTTAGTCCACGTGTAGAAAAGAACATGATCTTCATGATCCTATAGGAATGAACATTGTTGTGTGAAGAGGTCAAAAGTATATACATGATTTATGTCCGTCGTTTTTCAGACATATATAGTATTGACGAGTTTAACAACCAATTGTAATGGTTATCCGTTAAGACGTATTATTTCATCCGTCGGTTCGTACAACTATGAATTGTCACGACATTTAGCACAAATATTCAAAGATATCATACTCCACCTCCATCGTTTGTCAAAGACGCATTTCAATTCGTCGAAAGAATCAAAAATATAAATTATGAGGATGGTCAAATGATGGTAAGTTTTGACATTGAATCGTTATACACGAATATTCCTGTGTACGAAGCCATCGAAGCTGCATTGGACCTGATTTATGTTGATGGAATTAAACCCAATGATATTCCATATTATAGAAATGAGATGAAAGAATTATTAAAATTAGCGGTATGTGATGTTCCATTCAGATTTCAAGCAGAATTATACAAACAGAAGGATGGTGTTGCCATGGGCAGCTGTTTAGCTCCTATCTTGGCCGATGTGTTTATGATTAAATTGGAACAAAAATTAAATAAATTATTGTTCAACAAACCACAATTGTACTTAAGATACGTCGACGATGTATTCTGTATATTTTCAAAAACAGAGAATTATGAAGCATTTTTAAACATCATCAATCAATGGCATCAAAATATTCGTTTTACATTGGAAGTTGAAAATAATGGACATTTCCCGTATCTTGATGCTATGATCATGAGAAATAACAATGATAGAAGATATGACACAACGCTATACAAGAAGCCTACTGATACCGGGCTATATTTATTGTATGAATCAAATCAATGTCGAAGGTACAAGCTAGGTCTTATCAAAACGTTGACAGTACGCATTCTTCGGATCTGTTCAACACCACAACTGATTGAAACGGCTAACAGATATATTGGACGATAATGGTTATCCATCACATATTATTCGAAAAGGGATTGGTGAAGGGAAGGTCATTGTGATACGATTAAAAAATCCAAAAGATAAAAAGGATATAAAACCACAATTAAAGTTAAGGAATATATTCTTCACATTACCATATTTTGGAGAAGGAACGTTTGTATTGGGACAAAGAATTAAGAAGATATGCAAACAAATGATTCCAACAGTGGATTTGAAAATTGCATATAAAAAAACAATGATATTGAAAAGTATATTTTTACCAATACAAAAGGGGTTAGATGAAAGTAAGAAAATGAAGAATATTGTCTATTGTATTCCTTGCAAAAACTGCGATCGTAAATACTTTGAAGAAACATCGAGAGACAGAAACATTCGTATTAAGGGACACCGTTATGATGTGAGCAAGCAAGCACCAAATTCGAAAATTGCTCAGCATGTCCGTGAAAAGAAACACGTTATGAATTTTAACAATACAATTACTGTTGCACACGAAACAAATGGAAAAGAAGAACGATCAAAGAAAGTCTGCTGACACATTCATCTGGTGGGAAGAGTATTAATGATGTGAAGTTTCAAACTGAATATTTATTGATATGTAGAACTATCATTAGTCCTTTTGTCGAAGGACGTTTTGGCGTGAAGAGACAGTTCTACACACTAGAATGCGCATTCTAATGTGTTATTATGTATTTTTCTGTTCTTCTTGGGTATTTCCAGATTTCTTCTTTCGTTCGGCATGTATTTTTATATATAAACTGCTTCTTTTCTTTTTGTCATTCACTCTCGAAAATGATCTAAGTTCTGATCGAAAACTCGAGTATTTAAATAGATTCATAAGAATTTTATTAATATTTTATTAAAAGGTTTTTCATAGCAGTATTATACTTTATATTTAAAATCGATAAAAACTTTTTTACATGTAGTAATCGATTTGACTTGTGCCATGGTTAAATACATTTTGAAATTTGCATTAAACAAAAATGATATCTAAGTCTTTCTTGAAAAATCGAAAATATTTTGTATTCGTATCAAGTGGTTGTACCCCCTAGAATTTCTACGTATGTAGTAGCATAGAGCAACGCGGCTCTGTCAGATGAGATGTCTCCCAACTATAGGTAATGTTGTTTAACAAAGGTATAAAGATCGCCTGAAGAGAAGCGAAACTGTGCTGCATTAAGTGTAAGGTATGTTACGAAAAACAATGTTTTCTCCTAGCAGGTCTCATCTGCACACGGGGCTACACTCCTTTTTAGCCAAATGATCTACCGCTTCCAGTATTCTTGCTATTAAAGAAAGCGAGAAAAAAGAACGCGAAAAGTACAGTGGAGGTAGGTGCTAAGGTATCTTTAGTAAACATTTCACGTCAATCGGTTGAAAAGTAGTGTAGGGCGGTACCGTTGTAGGTTAAAAGGTGAGTATTCCAGAAAACTTACGAATTGATTGATTGATTGATTGATTTTTATTTCAACAACAGCAGTTTGTACAGAAAAGAGTAAACTTTATTTTTACAGTACAAAAACCTAACCTACACACAAACATGTTGTCAGGAAAGCAAAAAAGGTGTAAATACCTATAAAAATTGCCACCTTTTTATCCTATTTTCTCCCTTTTACAGCTGTAGGTATTGCCTCAGTTTGGTTTTGAAAGATTTTATTGTTGACGAGGTAACTACAGTGTTGGGGGAGAGAGTTCCAGTCGCGAGCTGTCCTATACAAAAAGGATTGTAAAACAGTTTCAGTGCGCGCAAATGGGATAAAAACTTGTCTGTTATGTTGTAACAGACGATCGGATCTTCTACTCACATCAAATTTATAAGATTGAAGCGAGATAGGAGCGATAAGCCGTTAAGGACTTTAAAAAAATACACTAGTCGGAAGTACTTCCGTCGCACGGAGAGTAAAGGTAATTGCAGTTTTTCGACAAGGGCTTTTCCTGGTGTATGAAAATCACGTATGATCATATGAGCCACTAATTTTTGAACTGATTCAAGTTGACTTTCCAAATTAGCAAAGTTATTATCATACAAAGCGCACTGTGCTTACGCCTGAGGCGTAATCTAATTCAGCTAATATGCAGGTTTTATAAATTTGTACACGAATTGAAGAGGGTTCATCTTTAAGGCCGCCCCCCCCACCAAAAAAGTCAATTTTCGTCAAAAAAATTATTTTTGAGATAGATATACGGGCACCTGAGATGTCTACTTCACAAATATATAAAAGTATTATTGAATCTCGAAGATTTTTAAGGAGTTTTTTAGAAAATTCTGCCGCTCTCTGAGGCGATTCTTAACACGAGACACGCTAATTAGTGTTTTTTAAATAACTCAAAGATGATAAAAGATAGAGATTTAAAGTTTTCAGCAATTGAAAGAAAACAGTCTGGGCTATGTTTCCTTAAGCAAAATCCTTTTCGAAAACTATTCGAAAGATCGGTTTTCTAGCAGATCTTTAGAAAACCAGTTCGGATCTTTGGATACTGAGATAGCAATCTATCAGTTTTTTTTCATAGATATATAGTCCAAAGTGTTCTCTCCAAAATGGGAACTAAGCGAACTCTTAATTTTTCCTGGATCAGGTGTGGCATCGGAGTTCCTGAGAGTCCTAGGATCAATATTTCTTTCGGTGTGGTAATTCCGAAAACGAATGGAAACATAGGTAATCGACGACGCTAAATCTCGTGGCAACATTTATTTTTCAGAAAAGTTTCCAAAGCCTAGTGAAAACCTATATTAGATGAAATAACCCATTTTTGACTTTTTTTGAGTAAAACTAAAATATTCATAACTCAGTCAAAATCCATCCAAATTATGCCAGACTATCAAGATGCACTCTATTTTACCTGCTCAATGTGATTTTTTACTTAAGAATAGTAAAAAATATCCTTGCAGTTCGGAAGATTTCTAGAAAATTTCTAGAAAACTTTTTCAAAACCCAAAGTATTTTCTG